GATTAATCTCCTGTTACACTTTCTGTCATCTTCCTGTATGTTCTCAGATGATGCCATTTCACTTTACCCTGTCTTTTTTTGAGTTTTTGGAATATTTCCCCCCCCCTCCCTTACATGGTTCTGCCTGGTACCTTGCTGGTGCCAGGACCCTGCTCAGTCTCTTTCACAAAACACAAATTCTCATTCTCAGCAACTCTTACAGTTTCATGTCCCGTGATCAGTTGTGCTTTTCCCAAAGCCAAGAATCTTGGATGCCTTTTTAATCAGGGGGGAGAGGGGTGCAGCAGGAGGGGAAGGAAAGAAAAAAAGAAGAGTTTTACTTTTCAAATACGCAGTTCTATTCTTTGAAAACATGTGGGAGGGGAAGAGTTTGAAAACACTGCTAAAACGCTGCCTCTGTTCCCTCTACAAGTACCATAATCAACAGGCAGACACAGAGTCCAATCCTGAAATCTCTCACTCTTTTAAGATGTCTCATGAGGGACTGTCTAGACTGAGACGATGCTCTTCACTTTCTACTGTCATTGGGAGCTCATGGATCACAAGGTGTGTCTGCCACAACTAATCTCAACAATGCGGGAAATCGTTTTCATGCCTATGTCCTCCTCTGTCATACTTTGCTGTTTGTGTACAACAGTAACTCCACAACAGAATTTCTCCTCTGTCTTTTAACTTTCTTGGTCTCTGAGTAACTCTGCCATTGCCCATTGCAGACTGCCACAGCAGCTGCCCAGCACCAGGCCTGATCCCTGCCATAGGAGCAAAGAAGAGTGCTTGGAAGCCCCCCAGTATCCTCCACAGGCTTCAGTTCATTAACCTGGACTGTTTCCAGAAGGAAGAGCAATGAATATTTCATTCTGAGGTCACAAGAAGCACAAAGCACTCGGAAAGGCTGAAATTACTCAACTTAGTGCAGCTCTAAACCAGTCCATCATTTCGCAGGCAAAACCTGGCATTTCCTGGAAAGACAGGATAGAAACAGGAACATCAGTGGGAGGAGTCCAACTTGAGCAATGTGGATAATTGAGCACAATGCTCTCCTCCTTCCCCCACTATTTCCCAGGAACAAGACTGCAACTGGTCACAGTGGAGATGCTCTGCCTTTCCTGTGATTGACGTTCACAGGATATGATAACTGATTTCTCAGTTAGTGTTCAGTGATAAAATCAACAAGGCAAAGCATCCATCTGGAATCATCTTGCTCCTCTTCAGGATTCTGTTTTACTTTACCTTGTTCCTAATTAGTCCTTGAAGTTAATCCAGTTCCACTTCAGCAGTGTGTCTTCAAAAACATCTAAAAACGGTGCTGAATGCCCTTCAAGTTATAAATTGCAAGTCATTGTTATCCTTTTGATATAGGTGACGTCAGAATATGCCTGCAAGAACAAATAGCTGTTCTTGCTGACTTTTTAGAAGACCTTACTGACTATCTGTGCTTTTATTAAATCTATATTTGCTAAGACAACAGTATCATCTTATGATAGTGCTGAGACAGAGGATGACAACTCCCAAGTGTTAAACAGCTATCCAGATATTATGTTATATCATTCCTCCTTTGCCAAATAAAGAGAATAAAATCAATTGTAGAAGAGCAAATATTTTATGCTGTTTTAAGGAGATGAACCAAGCATCCAAAACAGCTTTTCTGTTCACATACAACTGCTGAAGAAAGCATCACACATGTTTTAAAACGTATGAAGAGCAGTGAGAAGTGACCAGTACACACTTCAGTATCCCTGAGGAATGGTGCTGTGTAAGTCAGCGATATCAAGGGGCTCCAAACACAGGTCTTCTGGTCCATTTTCCTGGCCTGTGGAAGCTGTCCAGGGCAGAGTGTAAATGAGCTACTTCCCCTCCAGAATGTGTCCGTCACTTACCAGCTGTGCCTCAGAGCATCTGACTTAACAGTAACCAGGTCTCTGGTCTTTCAAATGCACCCCAGTCCGGCATGGCTGTTCCTGACACACTTCCCAGAGTGAAATAATTTGTTAAAGACTCCAAGTTGACCAAGCAACCAGGAGTAACAAGTAGGACATAGAGAGATTGTTAGTGAGAGTTGCTGACCATTTCCCCCCTGCAGTTTAAATGAAAGGGCTTCTTTGCAAAATCAGATTTGCATTTATCCCTGCCAACAGACACACATGGGGATAGGATTTTTTGAATACAACGACTTCAAAGCCCCAAATGGATAAGTGCTATAGGACTTAGACGGACTCTAAGATACTGTCAAAAAGAGTCTGGTGACTAGGCAAGAGCTGCTGCTTGGGAGACCTAAGCACAGCTCTTCCTCTATTACTTATCTCCCCTTGCAACATCTAACAGGAGAGCATTCTATGTCTTTGCTCAGCAACATTGGTGGAGACCCAGAAATAGAGTTCACTAATTCATGGCAGTGTGGGGCTAGGGCAGAGTGAGTGAAGACTGCAGTCCTTTGGCTCCAAGGAGGAGTGTTATCTGTGAACATTGCAGCTCGATCCTTTCAGCAGCAGGGCTTCTCTGCTCACAGGGTTGCTGCAGAAGTTTGGGTCATGGTCATATCAGAGGGGGTGCTAGAGGTGAACAGGGACAGCAGCCCTTTTAGCTGCTACCAAGTGATGAGTTTGACCTTGCTGGTGTGGGGGTTAAAGACTGCCAGGAACAGAGATGCCAAGCCAGCAGAGTGGAGAAAGATTAACCCATGATTTTAGGTGCATGGAAGACAGCACAGAAGTCTTCCTCAGCAGCTCTCCTCACTGCTGCAGGAAGACCATGTTTTTGTGCTCCCAGGAAAGAAAGGATGTGGGATTAAACTCTGAAAGGAAAGATCAGAAAATGCTGAGTAGGTATGTATACCATTTCAGAGCCAGGAACATTTTGCCTGATGGACATACCCCCTCAGTTCTGGGGCCTTTCCTTCCCTTACAAGGGAACTACCACTGAGTCCAGACTCAGGGTCTTGATCATCCCTACCTGGTTGTATGTTCTAAGGACAGTTATATTTTCAATCAGAGACCCATGGACACATGGCCTAGCAATTCCTTTTTGACCAAAGGCTATTTGGTCTACATCCTCTTGTCACAGAAAAGAAGGCAACAGCCTTCATCACATCTCCAACCAGAGATGTGAAAGACTAACAACTCTGCCAGTCATTGCTACCTTCTTCCTCCCCTTTCCCTGTTGGTTCTTCAGGGCTGGCAAAATCCACTTAGAGTAGGTCTGGGCATTTCCAGATTTGTCTCTCTGAAATAAATACAGCACCTGCACCTGCACCTGCACCTGCACCTACTTGGGGGCCATAAATCTTTCTACCGGATATCTTGTGACATTTGATTGCCTGACAGCAACATACAGGGCTGAAGTACTATGCCCTATGTCCTCCATCCTTACTTTCCAACTGAAAGCTCCACTGCACCTTGAGGAGAAGCACCCCACCTCACCCCCTCAAAATGCACATGATGCACACCCAGACTCTTCCTCGATTATTACCAGGCAAAACCATAACGCATCTCTCTTTATGGGTCCACAGCTCCCCTGTGGTTCCCACTCTATTCCTCAGAGAACTGTTTTCCATTTACTAGCGGGTCTACACAGCAGTTCACTGACCTCTGCTCCTAGGTTTACAGCATAAGAAAAACTCCAGGAGTATCAATTCCTCTGCTGATCATTGGCTGGGATCTTGAGTCAGATAACAACAGGTTCTGTCCAAGTTTAACCAAGTGACTAATTTTCCAAGGACATGTGAAAAATCTTAGCCAAAGCCATTTTAAATGGACCACTTCAGGCCATTAAAGTCTGGTGGCATCAAAATGCATAGAGTTTAAGGAAGTTAAATGATATCAACACTACTGTGTTTCTGTTACATGGGGCATGTAATAGCTTCCCTGAAACCTGAGTTCCTGCTCTGCTCTGCTTCTGCCTGCTTGTTGACTCTCTTCTCTCATGAATAAGCACAACAGAGACCTTTAAATTCAACTCACCCTTGGGAGTATTCCTCTAATCTAGATACATAATTCATTTTGCCATGGAAAAGCCATATCTTCCTCTTGAAGCAATTGCAGCATTGGTTTCAGGAAGGCCCGAGAACCTCATTATTATGAACAAGTTTTTTGCTGCTGAAGCAGTGAGGTTTGGTATTCAGAAACACAGACAGAACAAAACTTGCCTTGGAGCTTGTACTGAATTTTTTACTTTTCCTGCAAGCTGCAGAAGGGAGGGCTGGAAAAGGCTGTAGTCTGGGGCAGTGTGACATTCTATTCCACAATGTACCATCCTATCAGCCAACAGTAATGCTCCCTGGTATTTTGCCACTGAAACCTTCAAATGTCATTATCCCTGTGGGTAATTCTTCTTTACACTCCAGTACATCAACCTCACTCCTGGCATGACAAAGCTGTACTGCCACTTAGGAGATAAGGCTTCAAGTCTCAGTTCTGGCATTCAAGATCCTGATTTCTTTCCTGCACAGCAGATTTGAATTTAGCATTCAAGAAAGGTGTGGTGTGCTTTCATAGGAACCAGAAGAAGTGGTCTTGAGGGCAAAGAGGAGTAACGAAAAATATGCCTAATCACTTGTGAGTAGTAGTGGGACAAAGGTGGGGAACTGGTGACACTTTCTGAAGGGATCCAGTGGCACCATGAGGACAGCATCTCCCTGCAGCACCTCTGCTTGTAGAATGGGAGATCCAGGACTGGGGATGCTGCTGTTCAGTAGGTGTTGTCAGCTCAAATTCTCACTGCCTCAGCAGCAGGCATGGAGCTGTCCTTACCATGGGACTCTACATTCCTCTCTGGGGCAAAAACCAAGCAGTTTTCCCTCTTCCCTCACTGGAGAGGAGGGAGCTAAGCACATACACTGGAAACCTCAAAGGCCTCAAGTGCTCCAGTGTAGCAGTTCAGAGAAGAGGGTGTTTGGACGTGATGCAGCGCTTCTCAAATGTAGATCTCAAGGCACGGCCAAGGAATGCTATTTGCTCTTTGTTTGGATTTTCCCCTCCTTAACCAGGTCCTACTTTTCCTTGCAGCTCAGTATTTCGCTAGCATCATGGTCATCGTTGGTCTGTCTGTCGTGGTAACAGTGCTGGTTCTGCAGTTTCACCATCACGACCCCCAGGCGGGAAAGATGCCCAAATGGGTAAGCAGCTTTCGTGGTAAACATTCAACAGGCTCATACTGAAAGAAAAAAAATAAAATCTAAAAGCTATAGTAAATTTTTTATAGGTGAGGGACGGAATTTGTTCTCCACTAATATGAACAGTAAGCTATAGATAGCATATTTGATACTTATGTTTGCTAATGGAGTTAAAGAACAAAAACATACTAAATTTACTTTTCCATTAAAACCAGTCTTTCTTATTTGGGTTTTCTATTTACACTTACAGCGGAGTGGTTAAGTCATGACAAAGTAATTTTGCTCAGCACCCACTTTGCAAGTGCTGATCTCGTGGGCACCACCTTTGATTTCTTATCCAGCAGACACCACTACTGACAAAATGTGACATTGCAAAGTGCTAAACAAACACCAGTCTCTACTGGGCAGTTTGTCTACTGCCATCTGATCCATTCTCAGTGCATTAGCATGTGGACCCTCTTTTCTCTACAGACTTCTCTACAGACAGCAGTAGACTTTGTTAGCCCAGTGAGGTCTGGCACCAATGCCAGCTGGCTTTTAAAAGGAATGTTTCCTTCAGATTTTCAAGTTTAAGGAAAATGATGGGTTTTTTCCCTCCCTCTCCTTTTACTAATTGATTTTAGCATAGGCAACTTGTGCTTTGTAATTATAAAATGTAAAAGAATGAAAGCAGAAGCAGATACAAAGAGTCACAGTCAGCTATCTACCACCCTGGTTTCACCAAAGTCTGGTTGTACAGCATCCTCTGGTATCTCATTCACCACATTTGTCATGCTAGACAATTATCCTGACATGATGTTGAGTATCACATGGTTACCATTGTCAGTCCAAGCACAGAACAGCTTTCTAATTTAGCCTCTCTTAAAATAAACTGCTGCTTCAATGCATTTTTTTTTAAAGTCCAATAACAATGAAGCATACTCACAATTATTTCTCAAAGCGCTGTATTATTTAAAATCCTCTTTAGTTTCAAGACATCAGAGCATGTGAATTCTGGAAGAACCTGCATGTAAGCAAAACCTGAGGGCACAAATCTGGGCAAACATGCTTCAGATGTCTAAATGTTCAGGGTATGCAGCAGTGTAAGAGCCCCCGTAGAAAATTTTATTGTTTTGTCTACCTTTTGAAGAACATAGACACAATGGCTCATGTGTCTCACAGACCCTGCAAGTCAGCTCCTTCTCTCTACCAGTTTCTTAGTTTCTCTTCTTGAAACAGAGCGTACAACAAATTCTCACTTTGGAGGAACCTTGAACAGTGACCTCACAGCTGAACTGTCACACATTACAAAACATGCCATCAGGAAGCCAAGACTGTGGAAAGCATTACTGGGAAGCACAGACAATAGACTGTAAAAGCTGTAGACCAGACAAGTTGACAGGACCGAGGGATCTCAAGAGGAAAAGGGTGAATTCCAAGTGTGTAGGGAAGAGGCTGACCCCGCAACAGTAGGTATTTGTCCTCTGTGACATATGGACAAGGCTCAGTTGTTGGGATTCATGGCAAAATCTCCTTTTTTTTTTTCTTTTTAGTTTCCCCCATCCACCTGTGTAAGGTGTTTCTTACAGAGACACCTTAAAAGACTTTTGCCTCATAAAACCCAGGAATCTAAGATAGCCAGCTTCAGAAAGAAGGAAATTTTTTACATAAAACTTGTTTGCTGCATTTTCAGTACCAGCAGCTATCCTTACCATCTACGTATTCCCCACAATATCCTCATCCTGGCAGAGCCAAACATCAGTTTATGGCAAAACTCTAACCCTGATTAATTGTATATTGTTACAAGATTGTTCTCACCTGCTGCTTAAAAGGATTTAGCTGCTGAAGTAAGTTGCAAGGGAAGGCATTGGATCTTTGGGCTTGTATGGGAGAAGCTGCAGACCCAGAAGATTTGACTGGACAAGTTGCCTAAGCACCTGCTTCCTAAAGTATTTACAGTTGAGCATCTTCTTTTCCCTGCCTACCTTTCAAGGTCTCTGTGCTTGGCCTTTGCACCAGGAGAGGGAGGAGAGTGCCTGTTAGTGTTTAGCCTCTCTGTAGGTGTTCACTTCTTCCCTTATTTTGCTGCTGAGAATTGTGCCTTCCTTTCTATTAATTTTTGGTGACTTACTAAAGCCAGCTTTTTCCAAGACAGGAGTTCAAATCCAAGGTGTTCAGTCAAGGCATTTGTTGGCTACTCAGTTGAGAAGTGAGAGCTGATGGCTGATTGACACTTTTGACAATGTCTGCTGAGATAACATGGAAAAGAGCACTGAAGAAGGCCCAGCTACTGAGCCGTTTGGGAGTAAATAACATCAGGCATGGGCTACAGCCCAACTGATCTTTCTCTACTGACAACCAAGACTGTTGCATAGGAAAGAGAGATGGAGAGACCAAGAACTGAGAAGAAAGAGTTTTGGGGGGAAAAGCAAGAGCTCTCTGGCTCTTTGTTGTGCCTAAGTCAGGTTCACTAGGCTTTGGACTTTCCTTTTGATATGCTTCAAACCTGGACATGTACAGATTTGCTCAGGTGCTGATGCCCCTTATCAAGAGAGCTTTAATTGGAGACTGCCTCCTCTGGACCAGGCCAGGCAGGTGACTGTGATGGGAGCCATCAGTGCAGCTGTATTTTCATTAGGGGAGGACCGTAGTGGAGAAGCTCACAGCCCTGTTAGGCTGCTGACCTCTGAAGGCACCTGTATCTGTGTCCTTCCTTCATAGAAACCCAGATATGACAGTGCAGGTGAGAGTATAAATTCGTATCATCATATCCAGTCTGTTCTCCAGCAACCCGTATGCTGCAGCTGTCTCCTCAGTTAATTGGTACGACAAGAACAGATTGTGCCTAAATGTCTGTTTTCAAGGAAATAGAGCATTTGAAAATCCAAGCATATTAAAAGCTGTGTTGCTGTCTTCTGAGTATTTATTTTTCTGTGGAAAATGTGTTTGACTGTAGTTATAAATGTAATTTCCCTAAGAAGTAAAAACTCTGAAGAAAAAAGCAGTATTCCTGTACCAGAGGAATTCTTTTTTTCAACTCATATCTCTTTCCAGAGCTAAGGCAGACACATTCACATTTTCTAATAAGAAAGTTGTCTGACATTGAATTTTGGAATTACACAGTCCTGGAGAATTAATTTCTCTCTTCCCTTTGGCACTGGCACTGCTGACATATTGCTAGCAATTAAGACCTTTATCTTGTTCCATTTTGTCCCGTTTTGTTTCCATGAGTAGTCAGAGTACATTGTAATTAAGTTCAATTAAATGCAAGATCAGCTTTTTTAAGCTGCAACACTATGGGTTTCTATCTGTCAGTGGTAACTACAGAGGAGATAATAAAATATTTAAAGACTTCAATGAAAACAAAACGATATGAATAACAGGAAAACAGTCTTTCAGGACTGTCGTAGTTTGAACCCAGCTGGTAACTAAGTACCACGCAGCCACTTGCTCATACTTCACCTTCCCTCCCTCCTGGGGAGGAAAATCAGGAAAAAAACAACACTTCATGGGTTGAGATAAGAACAGTTTAATAATTGAAACAGAATAAGATGTAATAATATTACTAATATTACTACTATTACTAGTAATAATAATATTACCAAAAACATCAAGGAAGGAAGAGAAAGAGAGGAATAAAATGTAAGAGAAATAAGTGATGCACAATACAATTGTTCAACACTTGCTGACTGATGCCTAGCCTGTCTCTGAGCAGCAATCAACAGCTCCCAACCAACTTCCCACAGTTCATATCCCTTTGGAATATCCCTTCGGCTGGTTCAGGTCAGCAGTCCAAGCCATTGCTCCCTCATGGCATCATGTGCATCTGCTCACTGGCAGAGCACAGGAAACTGAAAAGTCCTTGACTCAGGCTAAGCACTACTTGCCAACAACTAAAATATCAGTGTGTTATCAACGTTATTCTCATACTGAATTCAAAACATAGCATTGTACCAGTTACTAGGAAGAAAATTAATTCTGTTCCAGCCAAAACCAGGATAACGATGAAGAAGAAAAGATTCATTAGAGGGAGAGTAGCAGAATGGCTCACAAGAGAATGGTACAGGGCTGTGGCACAGAACAGCTCACACTGCAGAATTAAAAAAAAAAAGGTGTAACTGCCTTTCATTGGCCATTGGTTTTGGCTTTTGCTATTATTATTTTTCCCATTTGTGTTTATTAACGCTTCCTCCTTTCTGAAATTATGTTTGTCATTACAGCAGCAACTTAAATTGCTAACTGTAATTTTCCCATTCCTGTGTCTGTACTGTGAAAACGTAGGAGTCATCTTATCCTGCATGTTCAATGATTTTGGAGGCAAATTGTGGTCCTAGGTCAAATATGACCAAAGTAACTGGAGCGCGATTACACAGGGAGTCCTGGGCCAAGGCTCTGAAGTGAAACCAGAGACCACATCTGTTCTCTCGTGGACATCAGATTATTTGACTTGAAACCAGGATGATAAAGTCATTAAAGAGGCCTGGTTGCATGGAGGGTCTTTCACAAGCACATTGCAAATGTCGATGTTGTACACATAACACCAGGAGGACTTTCTAATTACAAGATTTTACGGATTTAGTTTGTTGCTCTTTACATAAGATGTTACTGGTTCCACATCCTTTTTACTGCCTTTCACAGTTAACAATGTTACCAACGGGAATTCTAGCAGGCTTAGATTTCACACAAAACACCTGAAGATCATTTCACTGGGAAAAAATTCTGGATGCACTCTGCAGAGTTAGCTCGTTTGGTGACCCTGACAGGAAACATATGAGGCACAATCTGCCATGTTCCGGTTAGGGCAGTCTCGTGATGCACCAGCGCACAGGGAAATGACAGAAATTAACAGCAGCATTCAGACTTGGAACTGCTAAATATAATTGATATACTTTTACTCTTTTTTAGAAGCACCTCCTGTATTACGTGGTTGAACTCTTCAAAGGGGTACAAATGTCTTCCCCCCCCCAAAAAACCAAAACATCAAAAGCCAATCAAAGCTTTTTATTTAGAATAAACAA